CACACACACACCCACACACACACACACACACACACACACACACACACACACACACACACACACACACACACACACACACACACACACACACACACACACACACACACACACACGATCACACACACACATGCACACACACACACACGATCACAAACGCACACAGACACACATATGCACACGCGGCGCACGCACGCTCGCACACGCACACACACGCACCTACGCACGCACGCACGCACGCACACACGCACACGCGCACGCACACAAACAGAAACACAAACGCGCGGCACGGACGCACATACACACTCACCATCCATATACGAAGATATAATATGAAATTGAATGAATAAAATGAATCTCAAAAGTAGTTTTGAATCTCAAAAGTATCTTGAAAGACAACGTAGTTTTATGACGCATTATAATCGAGGAAATGCTAGTTTATATTACAGGAATAATAATATTCGGGGATCTACTGCGCGCTCACCGACAACGCGCGCGCAAACACTATATATGAAGTTTCTTTTTCGTTCTTGTGTCGAAATCTGCGCTGGCCACGCAGCTTGAGCCTATGCGGTGAATTCAATCATAACGATGTATATAATTATATAAATTATAGCCCTGCATCGTAACGGGGGTCGACGTAGGGTAGCCATAACCGCATTCAGTTATAATGGGGTCTAACTAGGTGCGCACGCATGTAGGCCTTCTGGTTTCGCAGATTGCGAACGAGGGATCGCCTTTGCCGCGAATACGGTATGAGAAATGCTTCGTAGAATTAGAATCTAGCCAGAATCGGGGGTGGGAGTATCTATTTAAAACGCAACGGCTAAGTGGTTGAAAGAATTAGCGGTGAGTTTCGCATGGTGACACTTTCTGGACATACATAAAAATTCGTTAAAAATCGTCGTGAAAAAGTTTAATGTAAAATCGGTCGTTGGGGTAATGAATCTTCATAGTTAAAAGCTATTCTGGAAAAACTATTCATCGGTTTCTCTGTAGCGTGAGGCAGAGGTGTTATAATATGTAAATGATTTTCTTTCACGACCGTCTTGCGACAACAGACCATTTTCGGAGTCTGTAATTTGTATAACGAGTGGTTTAGGTTAAACGCTCTATAGTCAAACTGTGAGAAAGTCAGTGATATGAATGCAGCGGCGGTTGGGACCAGCAGAGGCAGTATTTTTCACGATTTGCCAAACGTTCAAACATCTTCCGGAAGAATGATCGCGTTCCGATCAATAAATTATGCTGGCATTACTTAGAAAATAACCACGAATAAGTGGATAAACTATTATACTAGTGAGCAATGGAAGTTATTAGGTTTACCACGAATGGGGTTTTAACAAGGTATTGCCCTAGTTGTTTGTCGATGTTTGCCTTTTGCGAAGGAATTGTAACATTTTCTTTGCAGCTTTCGCATCCTCGATTTCTGCATTTAATATCATACTAACGTTACTTACTACAAGAGAGGAGAATTTTTACGGGCTCCGATTTTTTGTTCTAAATGATTTCTTGTCGTATATTTGTACTATACCGGACGGGCACACGCGCGTTCACGCACGTGCGCGTTCACACACACGCGCGCGGAGAGTGACGCACATACTAACGCGGGACGTGCGCACATGCACATGCACTCATATGCATGCATGCGTGCACGCGCGTAGGCGCGGGCACAGGCGCATGCATGCCCGCTCTATAGATACGCATCGTGCGTGTATTCGCCCTGCATGTTCCCTGCAGACGCTGCCTATGGATTACTTCCGCAGACGGCAGCCGCACGTCCGACAATACCTTGCACTGGTGCCGCGGCTGCTAGGGATCTACTTCTTTGTGCTATTCATGCTTCGTCTGAATGCGATAAAGACCGCGTGCGCGTGTACGTCGCTTGATTTCGTTAAAGATATTGCGAGACGTCCAAATTAGTATGTTTTAATGATAAATTCGCGTATTGTGTACACGCCTGATGAGATTACCTAAAGAATAGCCACAGCTGCGAGAACGAAACCCGCCACGCTGTTGTTGGGCTATATCCCTATATATAATATACCATAATATATATATATATATATATATATATATATATATATTATAGTATATTATAGGGATATACAATATTATTGCATAGCTGTGAAGGAAACATGGATTTCAGTTCATAAAACTCGGTTTTCTTCGCAAATAGTCAATTATTGCTTTGTTATATGTAAGACCAGGAGTAAATAATAGCATTAGGGCTTTTATACTATTATTAATATAAGACCGACTGTGAGCGATGTAACAGTCCACCAAGAGAAGAGGCATAATCCACATAGTATCCTTAATCGACCTATGATTTATTAAGGGTGACCCAATAAACATGGGCTCAAACATCATCTTGAACATTCAGTCCCTAGCTCTCATCTCTAATCGTTTTCCTCATACGCAGGCCCAGTTACACACACACACACACACACACACACACACACACACACACACACACACACACACACACAC